CCCCTCGCCCGCCGCAGCAGCCTCCGACTCGAGAGCGGCGCGCGCCTAGGGTGCGCGGTCGGGCGCGCGCGTCGAGGAACTGCCGCTGGCGCGGCCTCCCGCCCCACCCCGCCGCCCGCCACCTCTGGCGGCGTCCTCCGGGACGGACTGACAAGGAGAGAGCCTCCCTCCCTCGCCGCGGCAGCGCCGGCGGAGCGGAGGAGGGCGGCGGCCGCCGCCGCGTCGAGGGGCGGCGCGAGGCGGCGTTGCCACCACCGCCGCGTCACGGGACCGCCCACCAGCAGGGCGACGCGCGGGCGCGGGAGTGCCGACGCCGTCGCCGCCCACTCCTCTCGCGCCCGCTCCCGCGCCTCGGCCGGCAAGCCGCCGAGCGCACCGGCCGTGAGGAGTGCGTTGGGCGGGGCGGAGCGCTCGCCTCCGGCAAAGTCGTGCCGCGGCGCGACCACCATGTCGAAGCGCGACGCGTCGCACAGCGGCCGCTGCACGTGCACTGTCGCCGTGGCGCGGCCGCTCGCCTCGCGGACCGCCACGCTCGCAGGCACGCTCGCGCGGCCGCAGCTGATGGCGAGGAGCGGGAAGGGAGGCTGCGGCGGCTCTCCCAGCCCCAGCGCGTGCGGACCGAGCAGCGACTGCACTGCGAGCTGCGTGGGCAGCGGCAGCCGCATCGCCGCCCTCGAAGGCACCCGCCGCTCGACCTGGTAGGGCAGGCCGAGCGCGTCCGCGAGCGCGATCGCCTGCTTCTCGGCGCCCGCGGCGCCGTTGCCGAGGACGAGGACCGGAGCCCAATTGGAGAGGCTGCGGGCCGCGCCCAAGCTGCGCCTCATCCGACCCAAGTGCACATCAACTGTTTTTATCAGCTGGGCCAAACAAAGAAATCCCGCGACGCGTCCTCCATTCGCTACATAGTCCACCGCGCACCGCGCTGCGAGCCTGTCGTGTCCCTTGTCAGGAGCAGGAGAGCCCCACCTGTCCCCCTGATCGTTCTTCCAAAATCCTGCTCGTGCAGGTGGGGACCCTGTCCCCGTCCCATCCCTCGTTTGGCGTGTCTGTTTTCTTTCTTTCTTTACATACATCGATCGAGGCGGCTCGGCCAGACAGAGAGAGGCAGAACCGGTGCTGAGCTTGACGGCGAGCACGCCCGTCGATGGACGATGCATTGAGACCAAGGGCCTCGTCGATTTTGAAGAGAGAGATTTTAGAAAACCAACAAGAAATCACGTCTGTCACAGTGATTTGGGCTCGGCAGCTTGTCAGCCCTCAGCCGAAGCTGGGGCCGGTCCCGTAGCCGAGAGAGCCCGCGCTTGTTCTCGATTTTGTTTGGTATTGCTAAAAATATCTCTCTCGATTTGACTTAGGCCAAGGTCTGAGAGAGATGTTTAGCAATACAATACCAAACAAATCTAACACTCACACATCAAGGTCTGTCTGTGGACTGTGCGCGCCCATGGCGCCATGCTTCCCCTGCCCGTCAAAACGCGACTACTCGAGTAATTGGTTTGAAGATCGAATGCTTGCAGCCATGCAAGGGAACGTGCCAAGATCATCACGCGACCCGCCTGACCAGGTCTTGACTGACGCTTGACGGTGGCCGTCCTTCCTGCGCGAGAGCGAAACTGGAGCGAAAACGACGCGCGCCGCCGCCCCGGCGAAGCAACTCTCACTCTTCACTCTACACTCATTCGGCGGGATCTCGTCTTCTGTCTTCTGATTGGGACGGACGGCAAAAGTGACTGTTAGAGTTGTTTTGGTTGGTATTGGGTATTGCTAAAAATCTCTCTCTCGGCATGCCGCATGCGCATGCCGGAGGACCTTATGGTAGTCAATTCACGGATCTTGATGCTAGAAGAAAATCCTTCCTTCCTTCACACGTGATAACGCCGCATACACACGGACGGAACCAACCAGCTACCCCCCCCCCCTCTCTCTCCAACTCTCT